GGGGTTGTAGAAAAAATGATAGGCAAGAGGAAAATTTCTAATCACTGTTCGATTTGGCTTGTGGTTAACAAGTTAGATTGAGGTCTGAAACCGTTCAAGGTTAACAATTGTTGAAACCGTTCAAGGTTAACAATTGTTGGTTCGATAATAAGGATTTTATTCTGTTTGTTGAGAATGAATGGAAGAAGTTGAAGGTGAAAGGTAGGAGTGACTATGTGATAAAAGAGAAACTTCTATTATTGAAATTTAGCTTATTTAAATGGAACGTTAAAGTATTTGGTCGTATTAATCTGGATATTGAGGAGGGATGTAGGCTTATTAGTGAAGCTGACAACGAATTAGTTTATTGTGATGATAATATGGTTGAGGCGTGGGCGGATAACAGGAGTGCTGCTACTAAGAGCATGTGGAAGAATTTGAAGATTCAAGAGCAAATGTTGTTGCAAAAATCTAGATTAAAATGAGACAACAAAGGAGACTCCAATAGCAGATTCTTCAATTCCGTTCAAAAGGTTATCGAAAGTTGAATGCTTGTCTTTAGAAGCCTTGTTTTCTGATGTTGAGATTGAGGAAGCTTTTTGGGGTTGTGAAGGGTCGAAGAGCCCGGAGCCAGACGAGTATAATTTCTTTTTCCTCAAGAAGTGTTGGTTTTTCATCAAGGAAGATATTCATCTCTTTCCTCACTTTAATTTCTAAGTATGACAATACTTTGAGTCTCTCTCATTACAAGCCTATTTGTCTAGTTGGTTGTTTGTACAAAGCGTTAACCAAACTTCTTGCGGCTAGACTCAAAAAGGTTCTCGGTTCAATTATTTCACTGTGTCAGAGTGCGTGTATTCCTGATAGGCAGTTGTTGGATGGAGTTTTGGTAGCAAATGAAACGGTGGATTATGCTACTAAGGAGAAGAAGAGATGCTTACTTTTAAAGGTCGATTTTGAAAAAACATATGATAAGGTGAGATGGAATTTTCTCAAATACATGATAAGACGAATGGGATTTGGGGAACTTTGGCTTAGATGGATGAGAGCAAAAATTATCACTAGTTTCATGTTAGATTTAGTTAATGGAAGTCCGACGAAGGAATTCAAGGTTGGTAGAGGTCTTTGTCAGGGAGATCCTTTATCTCCATTTTTGTTTGTAATCGTAGCAGAGGCTCTAACTGGTTTGGTGAGGAGGTCTCAGGAAGTGGGAGATTTTGTTGGCTTTGCAGGTGGATATACTCCAATTCACCGCTGACACTTTATTAATTGGAGAAGGCTCTTGGAATCACGTTTGGGTTTAAAATCTGTTCAGAGAGGTTTCGAAGTAATATCGGGGCTTGGAGTCAATTTTATGAAAAGTAAATTGATCGGAATCAACTTTAATCCTCATTTTTTGGATGTTGCTGCCAACTTTCTTTCTTGCAGGTTGGAAGGTTTAATTTTCAACTTTCTTGTTGTTCATATCGGTTTAAAATCTAGAAGCATATTGACTTGGCACTTCTTGATCAAGAAGTTGAAGGAGAGGTTATCAAGTTGGAAGGGTCGTCTATTAAACCTTAGGGGTCGCTTAACGTTGCTGAAATCGATTTAGAGTAGCCTTCCCATTTTCATTTTCTCTTTTTATAAAGCTCCTGTACAGGTTTGCACATTCATCACTAAAATGCAAACAAATTGACTACTAAAAACTTTGCGTTTAGTGACTGAAATAGAGACCGAAAAAGCTTAAAAGTCAGTCACTATAACGTTTACCAATAAAGTGACCACAATTTTTCAGTTGAAAAAGTATTAGTCGCTAACCTTTAGCAACGTCTTCGGTGACTGATTTTAGTGACCGAAATTGAGGGAATTAGTGACCGAAATTGAGGGAATTAGTGACCAATTTAGCCACCGTTTTTATTATGTTAATAGTCGCTAACCTTTAGCAACGTCTTCAGTGACTGATTTTAGTGACCGAAATTGAGGGAATTAGTGACCGATTTAGCCACCGTTTTTATTATGTTAACGAAATAAAAATAATGTGAAAATAATGGACACATTCAAATATCAAACGCGTGACCTTGAGTGGTAGAGTACACACGTTACCACTAGGACGCATCATAACAATTGTCAATTTCATATTTAAAATGGTATACATTATTAAAATATATTTAAATTATTATAATGTCATTTAACTTACATTTTTTATTAAATTAATAAATTTATGGTTATCAATTTTTTATATATAAATATATGTTTTATTTGTTATAAAAATAAAAATGTGAAACTTTGACTAAAAACTAAAAATTAAGATGAACTTAAAATATTAAAAAAGGAGAGAAAATCAGAAGGGGAAGTAGTAACTTAAAAAATAAAACAACCAAAACTATTAGTAATCAAAATTTCGGTCAGTGAAATGTTTTAATAAATTTGTTTTGTGAAAAAATATATTTTGTGACTGATTTATAGACTTTAAATACTACAGTCACAAAATTTCGGTCATTAATTCAGTGGCTAATTTTATTTGGTGACTGATTTATAGACTTTAAATACTTTATTAATATGATGTCAAAGTTTGGTGGCTAATTCAGTGGCTAATGTGGTTGAAATTTTTCAGTCACTAAAAGCGAGTTTTCTAGTAGTGATTTCCTTTGGGGATGGGATAGTAGTAGAAGGAAAATCTATTCGGTTACTTGGAAAAATTTGTGTTTGCCAATTCATCTTGGAGGCCTTGGTTTAAAGAGGGTGGAGGAATTCAATATTTCTTTGCTCTTGAAATGGAGGTGGCGTTTGTTGGAGGGCAAAAAGGCTTTATGTTTCGATATTCTTAGTGCTAGAAACGACGCTTTGTATAATCACTTTTCTGATTCGAATAACAGGTATCACTTTAGAACTTGCTCTACATGGTGGAAATATATTTATTCTTTGGAAAATAGAACTATGGTTTGAATTTTTATTAAGAATTGTAGGTTTCTTTTAGGAAGAGGCTTAACAACCCCTTTTTGTTCAATGGATTGGATAGGAGGAATGCGACTGCAAGACGTTTTTGTTGATCCATACAGTGCCAATTCCGTGAAGATGGCTCCAGTGGCAGATATGGGGATTTAGCAATGCGGTAGGTGGATTTGGGGAGAGCTTGGGATCCATGCTAATTCTTCATCTAATGTGTTGATCAGACAGTTGGAGATGAAGGTTTTATTATCCTCGGTATCGCCGATGTTGGTGCGGGGGACGACGCGGTTTGGAAGAAAGATGAGCTCCTCGGTTATTCGGCAAAATCTGGTTACGACTTATTGTGTTCAGAATCAATTTCTGCAGGCATAGGGTGTGTGTCACAAGCTTATTTTGAGATGTTGTGGAAAGCCTCGATTCTGTTTAGGATTAAGGCATTCGATTGGAGGTGTTTTTTAAATAGACTCCCTTCCAGAGATAATCTGAAGCGAAAAGGTATTCTGCAGCTTGATCATATATCGTGTATTATTTGACGAGCTATTTTGAAGTATATAGAGCTGGAGGATTTTGTTTGTGCCGATGTTTTGTAGTTATTTTTTGCTTTAGGTTGCCTTCTCAAAAAGGAAGGTTAAAAAAGAGAATTTTGGGTTGATTTGGTTAGTAGTTTGTTAGAGTATTTGAAGATTGAGGAATATAATGATTTTTAAAGACGAAGGCTGCAACGTTTCTGATCTAATTTGGAACTTCAAAATTTTGGTGTGGAGGTGGTCTTCAATAGGGAATATTACTCAATCCAAATGTAATTTTTATGAGTTTTGCAATGATCCTTTGCAGTTTCTCGGTTAAGTTTCATTTGGTTTAATCTCTTTAATTTTTTTTCCGAATGTTTTCTGTTTTTTTTAATTGAATTAGAATATCCGTAATACTCTTTGAATGCAATCCTTGCTGAAAAAATACATATACTTTTTGTTTATTCATAATTGTTTATGCAAATTAAATTCAATAGCAATAATGTACAGATCATGTTTGGCTAAATTCTAGAGCTCGAAATAAGAGAACCGTTGTATTGATAGGACTCGATAAAATTATTAGTACCAATTTTTTTATAACAAAAATAATTTTTTAGTTCTGAATTTTGTTTCAAAAAGCTGAAATTTTACTGTGAAAGCGAAAATACATTAATACTGATTTTAGTGCAAAATTTTGAAAACAGTATCTCACCATTAAAATGCAAATCTTTAATTTTTAAAAACAAAGACAACACTTTATTAATTAATTAAGAACTTTTAGTTTTCAAAAAGAAATTTTAAAATTGTAACTTGCAACTTGCGAAAAGAGATGATTACGATTTTGAAATTCAATGCGGGCTGTCCAAAAGTGAGCAGTATTTCTAAATTAGTAATTTTTCAAAAAATAATTTTTAAAATAAATTGAGGTGCTGAATTTTATACGATTTCCAAAGGTACCGGTAAATTACTTTACGGTCTCCGTTTTCATTAATTCTAGAACAAGTTTATTTTAATTCGTTTTTAATCAAAACACTTGCTAATAGCTTTAGATTTACATAATAACAATAAATAACGATACACTTAATTATTACTCTATGTAGATTCGATATTTTTATACTATAACTGATATTTTCGTGCACTTACGAAACATATTAAATAGAAACGACCCATTTGACTAGATAATCTGACCGTGTAAGTTATACTTATAAGCTTAAAGGATCCTATTGTTAAAAAAATATTTTAAAATAATTTAAAGGACCTAAATAATATTTTTGTCTTTTTAATACATCTGTGTACAAAAGGTAGCTTAGAAAGATTATATCTTATACAATCAATCAATTTTATAAGCAACATTATATATATTAACTTTGGGTTATATATCTTGAAAATAACCAATATATATATATATATATATATATATATATATATATATATATATATATATATATATATATATATATATATATATATATATATATATATATATATATATATATATATATATATATATTACAACAACAAACTATTACACATTAATTATTAACTAATTAACAGGGCGTAGATTGAATTAATATTAATCAATCAATCTTGTTGCCTCAACTGTCTATAAAACTTTTTAATGAAATCTTCTGCTGCCTTATCAATCTGGTTGTCCTTCTCATCATCTATTAAAGGGAATGGTGAGTCAGTTACCCTCAATTGCCTCACTCTTGGACTGTGCTCGAATCCAGACAATACCGGAGACGCTTCTACAATCGCTTGATCATTGTTAAGCATATTCAGCACTGTCTTCATTGTTCTCATAGTCATTGCCTCATCATCCGGTGTAGGCAGTGCCTGAGTGGGAGTGAAGGAGCTGCAGCTGAGTTTGTACTCCCTTGAGGAAGTGAATGAGTTGTGGAAGTGGCGGCTTGAGCTAGAGTCTTGGTTATGATGGAACATTAGATTGGCAATGGCTTTTCCGGCAAGCTTGCCGCGGCGTCTGAGCATCATGTTTAGATTATTCATTACTTGGCCTTTTGATAATTTTTTTCTCAACATGAAGAAGGCCACACGGACCATACTCCATATTCTCTTTGATATCACTGGTAGACTGTTTTCCATTGTTTATTTTTGATAGAACTTGTTCATTTGGTTGAAGTAATTTGAGAGAGTGATTTTGAGAGAAAGAGAGATGAAGAAATGGATTTGATTTGAGGACTAGAGGGAGAAAGGTGAAGAAGATATTTATATATAGTGTAAAAGGGAAAGAAAAATGAGAAATGAATATTGAATCCACCATACGGAAATTGAATAACTCATGTGTGCATTCATACTTTGCATATTACTTTTATGTCTTTAAAATATTTTGTTATACTTTTAATCAGAAAGTTATTTTGAAAAGTCTATGCTTTTTTGAAGAGGACAAAAGAAGTACTTTACTCACTCGGTATCTTAAGATTGGTGGTTTTCTAAATGTGTCAATCTTACTAGACTAAACATTATTTTAAATATAAACACTTGATAGGAACACTTTATTTTTACGTATCTTACCAACTTATTTGATAGCTTAATTTGCAAAAAGACTTATTTTACAGCAGGATTTAAAATACATGACAGAGCATTCACCTATAATGTGAAAATTATAAAACATAGCCACATCCATTTTGTTGAATATATTTTCTCATAATTGCTTTAGATTCTAGGTTAGCTCTTGGTTAAGAATGTCTGTCTAATCAGTGGAAAACACATGATATTCATCATACCATAACTTAGCTATCACAATAATTTGCCACGCACACTTACCCCTTCTATTTCTCTTTGGCTTTTTAATCACTTTTTTTCGTACAATTATATGCTTCTATCTGAAATTTGGATAACGATGCCTATTCTGGATAATCTTCACTTTGCAGTACAAACACTTGATTATATGGTTCTGTGTACGGTATACATTGCATCTATAATCTATAATGTTGTCCAATTTTTAGCATCTTTTCTCTAGATAGGGTTCGTTCAATGTAGTTTGAAGTCTAAAAAATATTTTTGATGAGGCCCTTTTAAAATTAATTTTCTCTCTTCAAAAAAGCTTTATTTTTTTTGTTTTTTTATTCATTAGTTGAAGCACATGAAGTATACACTATGTTCGATAGAGCTTTTATAATCACTTTTATTTATCTTCTAAAAAGCTTCAAAGCGTTCGTAAAGATGATGCTCTAAAAAAATCGACGAAGGATTGAGTGCATTTTCAAAAGAGTTATAGTAAATAGAAAAAAAAAACTTATTTTAAAAGGTATTATTTTTTGAAAATATTAATAGCGCTCTCATAAAACAATTTTTAAATACCAAGCAATAATATTGCATCTAAAAAAATATATTTTCTAATAGATATACATTCATCATATAACATTGCATTCATAATATAAATCTTGAAATATATATGTATTACAAATCATTAAGCAACAAAAAAGAATGAAGCTATTTTAGAATAGCAACTTGTTTATAAACGTAGGCATGTCAAACAAACCTAGATTCGTCGGGGTCCACCCGGACCCGTCTCGAAATTAGTGGGTGAAAATTTAGTTTGAGTGGGTACGGATGTGGGTGCGGGGAGACACTAAGACCTGCCCGCCCCCGGCTCCACCTCGCCTCTGAATAATGCATTTTAGTTTAATTCTCTTATTTTACTTATTTTAATATTTATTTATTAATTATATTTTTAATTAAATTATTAATACCTTTATTGCAATTAAAATAATTAAATTAATCAAATTAATATTCATTTATTAATTAAAATTTTAATTAAGTAAATAATTAATTTATTAGAATAATCAATTTTTTAATTAAATTATTAATTTTTATTGCAATTAAAAAGAAATTAATTTTTTTGCGGGTGGGAGTGCAACCATTCTCTACTGGGAGCAGGTCTGGGCGGTAAATTTTTACCTCCGGTTAAGTTTGGGGGCGAGGGTGAGTGTGTTACATGGAGGTGGGTGCGGGTGCGGGTATAGTAAAACCCGCCCCGACCCGCCCCATTGTCATCGACACTTCTTCAACTTACTGACAAATTTTGTGTTCAACATATTCAATTAATACTTCATTTTCTACTAACTTTTTTCGACCCTCTTTGACACATTTAGTAATATTTTTACTTGTTTGAAATTCAAATTTTTAGGTGTTTTTTAACTCCAATTCTTCCATCTCAAATGGCTATAGGATTATCCACCATCGTAAATTAAAAAAAATAAAAATAAAAATAGAAATAAGTTTTCGATATGTCAACATTTTTTACTTGCACTAGTGCAGAAAAACGAAATTTACGTTCGTTTTTTATACGTGATACACCCGTTATTAGAGGGTATAAGTTTAAAGAGTGAGAAATATTCGACAAATTTACATCCATTTTAAAATGGAAGTAAATATGATATATTACATCAATTTTGAGAAAAAATTGGTGTAAATTGTTACATATATACATTTAAATCAAACGAATTTACACCAATTTGGTAAAAATCAAGTGTCAAAGAAATAATTTTTACTATGAATGTCAACAAATTTACACCCTATTTTATTTAAGTTGTGTGTAAAAAACTATATATTACATCCATTTTAGTTATCACATGTGTAAAATATTTGATCATTATATTATATTTAATTTCATTTACATCATATTTCATGCAACCAAATATTTTTCTATTCTCCTAAGCATTTAGTAAACAAAACCCTTATAACATGTGTAAAAGAACTCGATATACTTTTTAATGTTATTTAAAAAAAATTATTAAACCAAATATTTTTAAATAACATTGGCAAACAAAAAGCACATCCAAAACAAATATATTCTAACATCATCATATATAAGTCTTACATCAAAATAATATTATCTAATACCAAAAAGTCATGCATACATCAAAATCATATTATCTTGTACCAAGAAGTCATAGTACTTCATGTAACAACAAAATATTCAATCATAAGTAATAATATTTCTTCATGTAACAACAACAAAATATTCAATCACTTTCTTCATATAACAATTACAAGATATTAATGGAACAAAACCTATATCTATATATAACTTTTCTTCTTTCATTGTTGTTTCAACAATATTTTTTTATTTCCCGTGAGAGAAATGAAGAGCATAGTCAATCATATTGTTAAAATACTAGTATACCTCATGGAAAAGACGATAAATTAGAAATCATGACCAATCATAAGCATGTTAAACAGTTATGAGCATGACATACACTTCATATCGGTACATAATATACGCCAAATTTTATATTTAATTTGTATCATTGTATGGTAACATGCTTATAACACTCATATATAATACATGTTTAGAATATACATATTATACATAGTTGGTACTGAAATACATAAGTTTCTAGTGGAAACATTGTACATATTATATGCCCACAATAAACAACTAACAATAGAATAATATATACAAGGGTGCCCAAAAATAAAACTAAGAACTAGATCATGGTGAGATGATCTCCAAAATAACCACACAACGGATACACCATCCAAAGTATCAAAAGAAGTAAGGATATCAAGCTACTTTGCCCTTACCCTTCGCCTGATCAGAAGCACCTGAAAATAATCAACAAATACCGGGTGAGATAATAATTTCATTGGGTTTCCTATCTTGTGCGTTCTCTCGGCTCTACAAGGTTTTAAGCATCTTACTAGCTCAAGTCACAAAAGGAGAAGACTTGAGTTCACAATTCTTTCCCCAGCCAACCCTACGTCTAGAGTTATCGACACGGGTCTCAAATCCTTGTATTATACTTTGACATATGCATGAATTTCGGGTTCTAAGGAACTCCGTAACCTTAAGAGACTTCATTTCAAGCCTTTCACTCGTATGTGACTCTAACCTACTTAAGGTTCCTACGTTTTTGAGACTCAAGCCCGCTCAAAGTAATGGTGCGTACATCCCAATACTTACTCTATATAAGCCTCATACTTAAGACGACATAAATAAGGAGTTGTTACGTGAGGTGAAATCGTTGTCATAAAATATATTATTTACAATAGTGGTATTCTCATGACGAAAATAGTACCTTAGTAGGTATGTGAGTAACTCATATATTTTCTCTTCATGACTTGAGAATCCTATTATTTGCTGTAGCCAATAGTGGCTTAAGTGTCTTTAGCCTCATGACAGAATGTTCTTGGTGCTTTTGTTTTTTGAGATTTGTGTTGTGTTTATCGGTTTTGCTTTGATGAGCTCTACCTTTTAATCATCATCTTTGGCTTGTTTTTAGGCTGGATAATATACATCTTATGCCTTTCTTAATTTTTATTTGTACTATTTTTAGGTCCTAACTATTTTTTATTCTTAATATATTTTACTTGTCGTTAAAGAACATAAGTCAAAAACTTCTTCTAAGCTTTTGGCTTTACGCGAACTGTAACTTTTCATTATTATGATTCAAAATGTAATAGAGTCTGGGAAGCATCAAAAGTGTCAATGGGTTAAACGTTTAGGATCCAAGAGATTTTGACACCACATATTTATCCAAAATCTTAAGCAATAAAGGTATGAGTTATTTTTCTTTTATATCTAACATTTTCTCCAACTATAATCAAGTGAGACTTAGTCACTCACACTTAAATCCCAACTACTACAATGGAAAATGCATTTTACCTCGGTTGAAAAACTGGTCTTGCCTCAGTTTATTGGTGAGGTAACGAAGGGAAACATGAAAAGTGTGCCACTTTACCTCTTGATTTTAACACAACCAATAGGTAATGTGTAAAGGTCATGAGTTCGGTCTCCAAAAATATCCATTTTGGAATTATTAAATGATGAAAATATCTTTCACCTCGATTTTGACATATAACTGACGAGTAAAACACAATTGAGTTTATAAAACAATCTCTTAACAAAACTACAACAACATTAACAACAAACTACAACATAAATCTGTTTAAACAACAACCAGAAGATTAAAACTATAGGATTTAAGATCCCAACAACGAATCTCAACAACAACAACAACATCAATAAACCTATAACATAAATTTGTTTAAACAACAACAATAATATTAAACCTCTAGACTTTAGGGTGTTAATTACGGGTCTCAACAACAATAATAACAAAAATAATAAAACCTAT